GAGAGAGAGAGAGAGAGAGAGAGAGAGAGAGAGAGAGAACAACACAGAAGAGAAAGAGAGAGCGAGAGAGAGAAGACAACAAAACAGCAAAAGAAAAGGGAACGATGGGGGGCGGGAGGGGGGCGGACGCGCCCAACCCAAACTCTTGCACCCGCGCGCGTGGAGGGGGGGGGGGCCGCCCGTAACTGGCGTCGCCAAGCAACCCACCTTGCCCCATCGCGCGCGCCCCGTCTGCTTCGGGCACCCCCTGGCTGTGGGGCGCGGCCCCCGTTTGGCTTGACTCGCAGCCCAGCTTCGCCGCGGGGGCTTCTGGAACGAGCAGTCTCTTCGGCCGGGAGCAGCGCGCCTCGAGGAAAGAAGGAGGGCCCGCCGGGCCCCCCCCCCTCTCCACCTTCCACCGCCAGTAGGACGCGCGCGCAAACAAACGGAGAGACCAAGGCGCGGCGCACGCGCGCCCCCGCGTTCGAAATCTCCCCCCCCCCCCCCCCCCCCCCCCCCCCCCCCCCACGCACACGCACGCGCTCCACCTCCGAGGGGCGAGAATGAAAGGGGGGCAAGAGTGGGCGGGGGCGGGCGTCGCGAATCGGTCCCCTCTCGGCTCTGGTGTTCGCCGGGCCAGGCCAACTCGCCGCGTGCCCAAAGTGTGGAGGCGGTTCGCGCAGGCCCCCGCCCGCGCCCCCCCCCCCCCCCCCCGGCCGACCCCCAATCGCGCGCTGCCATGCGGCAGCTGCGGCGGGGGGGCGCCTGTAGCAATGCCTGAGCATCGTCGTCGAGGACTGTCTTCTTGGCCACACGCAGCGAAGGCAGGGGGGGCGGGGGGGGGACCTCAACGGCGCCCCGCGCGAACATGCAAGGCGCCGCATGACTTGCAGAGGACCCTCGAAGTGGCTGTTACGGGGCGGAGGTGCCATGGCCCAGGCCATCTGCAAGATCCTAATTCGCCTGGCCTCGCCTACTCGAAGAACTACGGGCGAGCGCGGGCAGCTGCTCGCGCAGCCCGGGGCACTCTACGAGCGCCTCGTGCACGCCCGCGCTCACGCGCGCGACTCTCAGCGCAAGCTTCCAAACCCGCCCTCGTCGAATCGCTGCCGCTCCACCGCTGAAGCGCAATGAGTCGAATGCCAACAAATGGAAGAGGAACAGGGCTCTGAGGACGGTGAGAAGCGAGGTGCGATGGAAAATCAGGGACTTGGATCTCTCTAAAACACGCCAGGCTTGCGTCGCTCCTCCTTCGCGCGCTCGAGCCCAGGCGCCTGAGCTCTGGCGCTGGCTGGAAGACTCATCTGACACCTCGCCTGCGCCCCCCCCCCCCCCCCCCCCATGCACCCCCCTGCCCTGCCCAATGCGGCCGACGGGCAGACAGCGAATAGATTTCTCTGACGCAAGGCCCATGGAGAAGGGGCCGATAGGCTGCAAACGCGCGTGGTGATGAAGACAGCGCCGACAAGAATGCGCATGCATAGCCGCAAACATGCCAAGCGTAAAGATTGGGCTGCTGGCCCTGGCCAGCCTGCCTCAAATCACTCTCGCCCAGCCTCAGACCTCCCGATTGTAGCGTAGAGCTCCTCGCTGCACTCGCTGTGCGAACAATCCGACGACCTAGGATTTGACGCGCTGCTGCAGCTGCGCCGCCTGCGCCCCCCGGTGACGGACTGCGTCTGCAAGCGCTGCAGCTTCCCCCAGGCGTGGCCGCAGTCGTTCGTGATAGGCGTCGAACTTCTTGGATGCTTCCAAATACTTCTCGCAATGGTGAGAGACGGCCGTGCTGTTCGCGTTCCAGGACATCTTCGCGGCCTGCGCCCCCCCTTCGAGCAAGTCGAACTGGGTGGTCAGCTGCTACCGCATGTCGCCCCAGGCGTGCTTGAACCTAAGTAGGTTTTCCCAATTCTGCAACATGCGCTGCTGGTTCGCCCCGCGCTCGCTCGCAACTTGCTGCGCGTGATCCATCAACGTGCCCATCTGCGAACAAAACCGCCGCCGGTTCGCTCCGAGGTCGGCCATGAGCGAACTCGATTGCATAACATATGCCCTGAGCCTCATGACCAACTATTCGATGTCGAACACGCTCTCACTATTGAAACGCGCGGCCACGTGCTGCCCCTGGCTGGGCTTGTCGACGCCTGACTCCTCAAGGCTCGAGTCTGGCGCGGCCACGACCCAGCCCTTTGCACCCTCCCGGTCTTTGACGCCTAACTCGTTGAGCCCGCTGCGAACTTATGCCCGCTGCGCCTGCCTGCTCGGGGAACCTCGCGCGAGCTCCTCGTCCAAGCGAGCGCGGCGCGCCGACGCGCCCCCCTCGCCCCCCCCCCCCCCCCTGGGGAGCAACTCCCGAGAGCTCTTTTGGGAAACAAGGAAACGCGAACGGCGATTCAGCCCGATTAGATGGCCATTTAAATTTACGAGCGGCAAACGCATCCGCATCCACGCCCTCCTCGCTGTCTGGATTCCAAAGAGCGACCCCGCGGACGCGCGGTCGCATGGACACGCTCCGCGCGGGGAAACCCCCGCCCTTCCATTATCCGCTTTTTCCTCGACCAGTGGCGTTCGTTATCGAGAGCAACCTAAATCTAAAATGTTGTGATTTCAACTCACCTGGTTAAAATGCTCAGAGATCGGGCCTGTGACCATCGCCGAAAACCTTATACATGAATGAAATGTCGATGTAGGTCTGTCCTGTGGAACAAACAACTCTGCTCGTGCTGGGCCCCTGAGAAGGCCCCGCGAACTTAGGGGCAACCCTCGGAACAACCTTTTAACACGACGCCCCTGAGAAGTTGAATATCCGGGAGCACAAGATCAACCAAGCAGAAACCCCATCGGGATAACCATCTGGGAAACCATTCGAACCATCATCGGGACAATCGCTGGAGCAACAAAGGAACTGCGTGGGACAAACCACGCGAGGCAACACTCGGAAAAACGCGGGAGCACGCACACAACACATTCACTCATTAACCCTGCTCGCACGACGGCGGGCCCGTCAGGGGCGCGAGGGAAAACGCGGGCACCAGTGCGCCACTCTGACAATTAGGAAGAGGAGCGGGGGAAGGATCAAAAATCTGCACGCGGGAGCGGCGCGCCTGTCACGTGCAAAGTCCAGGAAGTCCTCGGTCACATTTGCCCACGCAGCGCCATCTTGCGCAGCGTCTCGCCACGAACCGACGTGATTCGAGCGGCAGGAAGCAATCAACTTAGCATCTCACGACAACAGAGGACGTCCCTGTAAGCGCGACCCGGGCGGCGTTCATTTCCAAGCTCTCTGCGCCCACCGCTTCGAAGACGAACGCACAACAGAATCTGCAATAGCCCAGTCTTGTTTCAATGCCTCTCTCGACCACGCGCGAATGTCATGTTCCGTTGATATTTGATCGAGCCTCTCGTCGTACCATACTGTAGAATTGCATGCGAACGCTGGCTAAACAAAGCGAAGCGAGCCAAAAACGAACGGGAACATCGGGACCCCCCCTCGACCAGCAGCCCCATCGGCACACGCCCGCCCACGTGGCTGCGCCTCGCCCCAACGCACGTCACACGCGACACGAACCGAACCGAATCAGATTTCGGGTTTAGCGGGCAGCTCACGGTTCACCTCGGTCTCCTCCGATGGCTTAACTCAGGCCTGGCCTGCAACCTAACAGCCCTGTTCCTACGAGGCTCCTGCTCCCGCAAGGCTCCTGAGATGGTCCCGCGAGGCTCCTGAGAGGCTCTTGCGAGGCTCATGGGACGCTCCAGCGAACATCTGGACAAACATCGGTGTTAAACTTCGCTTTCTTCACTACTCCTTCCGATTGTTCGATGTTTACTCGTCGGTTGCTCCTCCTCCAGCTCCAGCTCCAGCTCCAGCTCCTGCTCCTGCTCCTGCTCCTGCTCCTGCTCCTGCTCCTGCTCCTGCTCCTCCTCCTCCTCCTGCTCCTGCTCCTGCTCCTGCTCCTGCTCCTGCTCCTGCTCCTCCTCCTCCTCCTCCTCCTCCTCCTCCTCCTCCTCCTCCTCCTCCTCCTCCTCCTCCTACTCCGTCTCCTCCTCCTCCTCCTCCACCTTCTCTTTGACGCCTCTCTTGTTCGTCCCTTCCTTTTTCCTCCTCTCCTCCTCCACTTCTTCAGAAGAGAAGGCATCTTTACCTCCCACCGGTGTATCGAGGAAGGCGCCCAGCGGCGAGGCCGAAACCTGTTGCACGCAGCAGATGTCGTAAGCCCCGTTTTCCCGATCCCCCCTTTCGTCCGAGAAGGGGGGGCCGTGCTGGAAGATATCCTGGCCCCCGCCATGAGATCCACATCCCCTGGTTACCACCCTCCTTTGGAGGGCAGATCGTTCATCCGGGGCCGTTTTCTGAGGGTCCTGGGTCCTGGCGACGGCCCGCAGAGGCCGAAATCGGCTAAAAAACCTTCCGCCTGGATTTCTGCATGACACGCGCATGCCCTGGGAAAGAACACTTGCCGCCACTCGGAAGTCCGTTCCCGGTGCATCGTTAGGTTTCGTGCGTGTCCGTTTCCCGGAATGGTCCAAGATGCCTATCAAGATGGTCCGGATCTTCGGGCTTTGGCCTCGACGAAAAAATGCACACGTCTGGGCGACAACAGTCGGGTCGGGCGAAAGGGGGGGATAGCAAAGGGGGGGGTTGAGAACCAGCTCGCGTAGCTGATTTTCCCGGCGCCTCCCGGCGCCGGAGGCGGCCATGTATCAAGGAATGGGCCCCTCGGTGGTGCCGAAACCAGCTGCTTGCAGCAGATTTCGTAACCCCCCCTTTTCCCAATCCCCCCCTTTCGGCCAGCCCGAGCCACCCACTTCGGCCGTCCCGGGCCACGAGGGCTCCTCGACCCACACGTAGAACTGCCCGGGCCACGTCGTGCCGGGCCCGCCGCCCTCGGCCGAGGCCGCCGGCAGCTGGGCGCGGGCGCGCGCTCTCTTCGGGCGCAGGCCCGCCGCTGCCCTGCGCCGCCGCTCTCCGCACGCGCCGCGGCACCCCGAGGATCGGTGGCGAGCGAGAGGGAGGAAAGGAGAGAAAGAAAACCTTCTCAGAATTTGGACGCCCGAGATGGGCACGGAAAGAATGCGTACAGTGCCCAACAACAAGTGTTGTCCCAAACCAACAGCGGTCGCTGTGGGGCGGGCGGCCTTCTGTCGCAAATGGACACGGGGCGCGACGCCACCGACAACGAGTCCTGTTCAGAATGAGCAGGAACTGCTGTCGGTCTTACCCAGTCTTTCCGTACCCATGTCGATCGTCCCGACAGAAGGCGGCGGGACTTTTCAGAAGCCCTGGCGCCCTCTGCGAAGCTTTCTCTGTCTTTGGGGAAGGCCGGGAAACTTCCGAGCCTCCTGACAGGGCCCGCCCCCTCTCACTTCCACCCCCTGGGCTCGCCGCCGAAAGGGGGTGAGAGGGAGGGGGGGGGAGGATCAAGGAACCTCGAGACTCAAGGATGAGAGTGTTCTCCCCTCGACAGGTTGAGATTATCAGATTCGAAAGAAAGACCTTCAAAGTGCACCAGTGCTCCTTGGGTATCCCGTCTCGCGGCTTCGACGAAAAACGACTGCATGCCGCGGCCGGCAGACCCAAAGTGTGCCAGTGCTCCGTGGAGATGCTCGCGTTCTCGAGTGGGGATCGCTCTCGAATCGAAAACAACCATTGTTTGGGGGATCCTTTCTAGGCCTGCGGAGGACTCTGGGATACCTCTGCATACCTCCCCAGAAGGGGAGGGAGGAATTCGACTACAAAGAAAAAAGGTCGTGTCAGGAGGGCAGAGTATATGGACGCCAGGCAACAGCATCGCGCCAAGTCAGGGGCATTCTTGGACCGAGGAGTCCTAGAATCCGACAGGTAGAACCGAAGGATGCGAAAGGGCCGGGCTTCGGCCATGACCAAGACTGAACGCCGAAACGTCGTGCCAATCCTGGTCAACGTCCACCTTGGTCAGCGCCAATTCGTGGTCATCCTCGCGAATCGGCGCCGGCCACATGGAAGAATGCAATAATCGGCGTCGACAACATCCCGCGACACCTTGATGATCAGCATCATCAGCATCATCATGATCATGAGTATGTTCATGACCCTTACCATCATAAACATCATCAGCATCAGCATCACCATCACCATCGCCAGACTCATCATCATCACAATCATAATCATCATCATCATCACCATCATCCTCATAATTACAATATTCTCCATCATAATCATCATCAACACAATCATCGTCACCGCCATCATCATCATCCGCAGCAGCATCATCATCATTATCCACAGCATCAACATCAGCACCGAAATCACCGTTGTCATGATCAGAAGCAACATTATCATCATCATAATCGTCAGCATCAGCATCATCATCATGGTCATGGTCTTGATCATCGTCATCGTCATCATCATCACCATCACCATCATCATCATCATCATCATCATCATCATCATCATCATCATCATCATCATCATCATCATCATCATCATATTCATCATCACCATCACCACCATCACCACCATCATCAATATCATCATCATCCTCCTCCTCATCATCATCATCAACATCAGCATCAGCATCAGCATTACATCATCATCAGCAGCATCAGTATCATCAGTCTCAGCCTCAGCCTCAGCCTCAGCCTCAACCTCATCCTCATCCTCATCCTCATCCTCATCCTCATCATCATCATCAGCATCATCATCATCATCATCATCATCATCATCATCATCATCATCGTCATCATCGCCATCATCATTGTCAGTGTGCCTTCCTTCGACATAGGACCTTCGGAGCTACCACCAAGGCATGATAAGCCGGCGGTGGCACTGAGGGCGCCCTCGGGGCATCGCCCACGGAGCGGGCTTCCTCGCACGCCGTCGGGCGCCGTCGGAAACCCGCGGAGGCCCGCGGAGGCCCTCGGCGCATCGCCGGCGGCACACAGAAGCCTTCCCAGACATCCCGTTCTTTGATTTCTTTAATGCAATCGGCCCTAGGCCAGAAGAACATCCCTCAAGAACATGAAGCCCTCGGTCGGGAAATGCAAGCAGAACATCCCAGGGTACCCTCCGCAGGATGTACAAACACATCCAACAAACACCAAAAACATTAATGCAGGAGAATGAAAAACAAACAGGGGGAACGATTAAAAACATACTTTATTTGATTTCTGTGGGATCCTTCAACGGGAGGAAGACGATTCAAACAGATGTCTATTACACGCAAGATTCGAATCTTGCGTCGAATACGAATTTCACGTCGTCGTCTAATTCTGCGTTAAATAATTATTCTAAATCGACTTCAAATTTTACGTAAAATGCAAATTCTACATCGGTTTCAAGCTTTTACGTCAAATAATCGTTCCACGTCGACTTCAGACATCATCTCTAATGCTCATTTGACGTCGGGTGCAAATGTTACGTCAAATACACAATCAATGTGGCTCTGGCTCCGTCTGGCCCGTCGGCTGTCCGGGCGCGCGCCCGAGGACGGCAGGGGGCAGGGGGGGAACGATTGAAAAAATAATTTCCCAACCCGCGGCCGGGTTTTTATAATCATCCTCCGGGGCGCCGTCGACGCAACACGACCCCCGATCATTTACCAATCGCCATCCTACATTAGGCTGACCTTCCCGAACCGACCTCGATCTTATACCTCGGTCCGACTGTACAGGGTCCCCAGAAAACCCGACCCTCTCCCCAGGACCGGTGCTTCATCCCGAGCAAATTTGTCGACGGCCTCTTGGGCCTGGCGAGGAACCCCAAGGGCCGAAAATGGCCCATGCTCGTCCGTCCTGATTCCCTGAGAGCGTTTCGCCAGAGGGGTTCTCATCGAAGTAGAAATGGCCAAAGAAGAGTTGCACAGAGGGGGACGGGGAGCCTCAGACCGCGCGGTTCGGCAGCCAGTCCGCAAGCCGTTTCGCTTGGGACATCGCAACGACTCATCACAAGAATCGTGCTCTCGCCTCAAATGCTGGTCACGTTTTTGCTCCGGACGACCACGATGGCCCGTGCAAGATGCCCTACCCACCTTTGCTCCTACTGGGCTGCTGTGCTGAGGTATCTGTTACTCGACGCGGGCATGCCTCGGCCTGGAGGCCCTCGGCAGACGGCGCCGCCGGCGCCCCCGCAGGGCGGAGCGGGGCATCGCCTGGAAGGCGGAGGGCCCCACGACGGCGCTCAGCGGCCCGTCGCCGGAAGGCCGCAGGCGGGCGCCGAGGCCTCGCCGGCACTTACGGCGTCCACGTGGCCGCCGCCGCCGCCGCCGTCGTCGTCGTCTACTTCGCCCGTCGCCATCCGACCGACCGTCCACTCACGGGGTCGTTGGTCTCTGGTAGAGGTCGTCTGCGGCGATCCTTGGGCTGCCTTTCCCGGCCTGGAACTCGGGCAGGGCCGAAAGGGGGGGAAGGCGACGAGGAAGGGGGAGAGCAGGAGGGCGGAAGGGTAGCATGAAATCCGCTCGAAACAATCGGCCGCCAAACCCCGCCTGAGAAGACTGGGGCACACGAGAAGGCCACAGAGACAATCGTGGGCTGCTGTGCCCCAGGCTTTTGCGGTGTAGCCCCAGCGGCCTCCACGGGCCCAGCCAGCTCGGCTGCAGCGTGGCCCCCCGTCGTGGCCCCTCGCGGCCCCTGGCGTGCTGGGCAGGCTCCCTATAGGGCTCGGCACTGCCGCTCGCGGCCCCGCGGGGCCTCCGCGCGTGGCCGGGCGCTCCGGCTACAGCCCTGCCGCTCGCTCGCGGCCCCCCCGCGGCACGAGGCCGTCCGGCCGCTCGTCGCAGTCCTTTCGGGGGGAACGACAGGGGGGGGGGGGGGGATAGCATTGGCCAGGGCAAAGGATCGGCTCGCGTGGCTGAGTTTCCCAGCGCCTCCCGGCGCCGGGAGGCGTCCATGCATCGAGGAAAGGGCCTGGCGGCGGAGCCGAAACCAGCTGCATGTGGCAGAGTTCGTAACTCCCCCTTTCCCTATCCCCCCTTGTCGCTCGGCCCGTGGTCCTTGGTGGCCCCCGACGGCCCCTGGCCCGTCCCACCCAGCCGTGGTACAGTCAACCCGTGTAGTGCGGATGAGCGACAAGGACGCAAGGGCCTTGGAAGACCATTTCGGAGCTTTTCGAGCGAGGCGCGGCCAACGAAAGTGGCCGAGGATGGACCGAGGAGGCAATTATGCAAGGGTGCCCTTGGGAAGATGCCCATCCTTACCATGCTGGTTGAATGTACCCTATAGGACCCCTCCCCGCGGCTGGGGCAAGGCACGTTGAGAGCGAGGCTGGGAGCGGGAGAGGGCGAGCTGTTGCAGGCTGCGCCCCGCTGGCGCCGCCAGGGGGGGTCTGGCGCGGAACTCCGGAGTCCGTGCGGACTTCCGAAAGCTTACCGTAGGTTCGCGCCGTGTCGAACCCAGCGTTGGTTCCTGACACGGCGGGGATCGTTCAGCCTTGAACGATCGGCCGTTTCCGAAACGTCAGATCGTTCAACATCGACCGATTCTGGGTCGCCGGCGGCGTTCAACATCGAACGCCAGCGGCGGGGTCGCCGCCGGTCGACACCACACGAACGTACCGTATGTTTATGCAGCATGCTGTGTTGTGCTTGTCGTCTGGGGAGTCAGGGGATGCCGCGAGCCTTGCACAACCATGGTAAAGATCTGGCGCCTGCGAGCGCAAGAAGGCGCGCGATCAAACAAGAGAGAAAGGCTCACGGAACCCTCTGGCCTCCACGTCGAGACTCTCTCGCGCTCGGCCGTGTCCTGTCAAATGCACGCGCGACCTTCTCTGCCCCGCGAGGCTGATAGAAGCTATCGGAAGCTTTCTGGCTACCGGAGGTTATCCGAAGCCATCATCTGGGCGCCGAGTGATCCACCAATAGCTGTCGGGGCAGAAAGGGCTCCCCAGATGTTCTACGTAAGGCGTCTGACATGCAGGCAGCTGATGAGGGAGAGCGCCTCTTCGGGCCTTAAACTAGGTGCAGTCATCGTGATACGAGAAGGAAGGCATAATATGGAACAAATCGGCTTTTCTGGCCACGGCGGGCCTAGGCCACAGACAGCTGACACTACAGAAAATTAAGGAACGGCCCGACTACCTGAGCCCCTCCTGAGCCCAAAGCGGTCCTTACTTCCTTACTTAAGCGTCTTGACTGTATCAGATCGTGGCTCTTGATGGAGATCGGCTCCAAGGCCAGGCCAGGAGGTCACGTTTACCAAGATCTGGGCCCAGCCTTGATGGCGTTGGATGCGCTCCCTCGCCCACGGCGCTTGCGCGGCACTCGAGAGGGCATCGGTATCGTCGCCGTCTTAGACCTCGACGCCGTACTTTGTTCACTGTGTGGGCCCCCCAAATCCTATCCCTAAGGCAATCTGTTTCGTCCCTGAGACACCCGGGGCCAGAGAACGGCTGCCTCAGGGTGCGAAAAGAACTTGAAACGACAGGCAGACGACTGCGCTTTTCGGGAAATTGGTTCCTCCTGGACGCCACCGTCCCGCCTCCTGGACGCCATCCAAAGGCCCCCCAGAGGCCCAAGGAGGACTGAAGAACGCAAAACGGCTCTGGCCTCCAGCTTTCCGAGCTGCGCCCAGCCGCGGCAGCAGGACCCCCCCGAAACCACGACGGCGATGACGAACTGTTCTTCACTCCGAAGGGCTCAGATGTCTCGACCGCTTCCCCGTGGGGCCAACCTTTGGCCCCGTGTGCACTTTTGAAGGCCCCGAGGGACCCGCAGTCGGTCACAGGAGGCCGATACCCATAGGAAAAGCTTCTGGGAGCGGAATGGAAACACGTCGTCGGAGGTCTGGGGCTGGTGACGACGACGATTGGCCCGCCCGTAGTGGGCACGGACAAAAAAGATATGCCGCCCAACAGCACATGGCCGAGACCCGACAGCGGCCGCTGCTGGGCAGGCGAGCCAGCGTCTCAAATGACAACGCCCGCGGCGAAACAGAGTGAGCTCCGACATTGCGACAGAATTGCAGCACCGCGTATAAAGAACGACTGGAGCTCTAGACCCTCGTGATTTTGCAATGCGATGTCAAAGCCTATCGCTCTGTGCCCCGCCTGCCGGAAGTACCTGGCAAGCGCCCCCCTGAGATGATAAAAGGTGCGGGCCTCGGGGCCTGTTACCGCCCAAGGCCAAAAATGCCAATAACGACTGGAACCCTAGACCCAATCTTTCTGCTGCATTTCTGGAGCCGGGTCGATCTGTGATGGTCCTGGGGCCCGAAAGCGGGGAAAACGTCCGGTGTAAAAAAACTGTCGGTCTTCGTCCCTAACCTCATGCCCGTGAGAATAAACACTAGGGGATAATAAAGTTCGGGGTTCAGGGAGAGATAGTAAAAGTAGCCCAGCAGACCTCAGCATAATCTCGAAGTAAGAGATGATCAAGAGGAGACCAAGCCGAGCACGTTTTGAGACATCCTTGGCGTTTAGTTTTCATAGAAATATCCTCAACAATGGCTTATCTCTCATGAAAACTGTTTTTTGTAAGTGCTCGTGTAGGGTAGCTCATGTGCCTCAATTTCCATGGATAATCAACCCCAGAGATAAAAAAGTTCAGGCGAGCGTGGGGACAGAGAGAAATATAAAAGAAGAAGAATACAGTAGAAGAACAATAAGAAAGAAGAAGAAGAGGAGAATAAGAAGAGGACGAAGAAAGGAAAAATCCAAAGTTCCAAATCTATCAATTTTAATTTACAAACGCTTTATGAAAATTGATGTTTTAAGTGCTCGTGTAGGGTAGCTCATGTGCTTCATTTTCCATGGATAATCAACCCCAGGGATAAAAAAGTTCAGGCGAGCGTGAGGACAGATAGAAATATAAAAGAAGAAGAGGAAAGTAGAAGAATAATAAGAACATTGCTCGTTTCGTTTGAGTCTGCCTCCCAAAATTATTGGTTTCGCTTGACACATCCTGAAAAAGTGTGATCGCTTCGCTTGATGTTGCTATATCAACATCGCTTGATGTTGCTATCTCAACATAGCGTTTCGAGGTGATAATGAAGTTCGGCCTCAGCGCTCGCCGCCCAATTTGAATTTTGTATAGGGCGACGATAATCAACTCTAAACACTGAAGGGGGGGGGTCCCTTTATTATCATCGGCATGCGGTTATTCCTTGGGTGTCCCAACACCGTGTGGTGACGGTCCGCGCGGTGACCTCGAAATCCTAAGAGACCTCACCGCGCGGTCCGTCACCGCAATGCTTCGGGAGCCTGGAGGCCCCACTCGCCCGAGACGTCCTCGCAGAAAGACCCGAGTCCCAAAAACCGTGTGGTGGCCGCGAGCCCCCGCTGACTCACCACGCGGTGGAGTCACCAAACCGTTTGAGGGCTCCCGAGCTCTTTCCGCACCCGCTTCGACCGTACAGTCAGCCCGTACAAAAATGAAGCACGAGAAGGATGCAAGAGCTTTGATGGAGGTCCATGTCGAAACTTTGTGAGCGGGGCGCGGCCAGCGAAAGCGGCCAAGGATGGCCGAAAGGGAGAGATGCAAGGGTACTCAGGGTTTCTTAATGAGTGTGGGGGGGTACCTCCCCGACGGGGGTCAACCTCGCCTCGTCGTCGCGCCGCGACGGGGGTCGGAGCGCCTTCGGCACGCGGTGGCTGCCCGCGACGGGGGTCGATGTGGGGCTGTCGGCGAGGGTGACGCCCCCCCGACGCTCCTCGAGACACTCGGAGCAGCCTCGGAAAATCGCTCATCCTTTCAGTGCGGGTTGACTGTGCCGGGGTGACGACGGCCGCGCCGTCGGCGGCGGAAGGCCGCTGGCCTTCCGCGTAGAACCTCCGGGCGGCCTCCGCGTCGGGCACCGCGAGGCGGACGTGCCCGAGAAGCAGCAGGCTGTCCGCATGGGCCTCGCGGTGGCGCGCGGGCGGCCAGGTCCCAGCGGGCCGCAGTGGCCCCGAGGGCGGGTCACGCTCGGCTCAGCGCTGCGTCGCGTCCGCAGAGGACGAGGCAGGGCGAGAAGAATGCCATGGTGCGATCTGAGCATTTTCTTAGGGTGGAGGGCTCACATGGGTTTCTGCACCTCGAAAATCAATCCGTCTTGTGATTCACCTTTTGCAGATTCAAGCCTCGAAAATCAATCGAAACGGCATTCCAGATTTCACCCTGTGCGCTCCACCCAAAGCAAACACTCGGGCGATGGGCTCAGGAGGCGTCCCAAGAGTTCCAGGCATTCTGGCGGCCCTCGGCCACACCGTTCGTCCTCGGCCGCTCGTCTCTGGCCGTGCGGCACAGCAGGAAAACAGGGGAATCCTGAAACGCATCATTACCATAGCTTCTTGCTCTTCGACGACTAGGAGGCCTCCTAGATGGGTCCGACAAATGGGGTCGGAGGATCGCGCCGTATTGCTTATGCATCGGCGGTCCATCGCCGATCCATCGGCGATGCATCGGCGACGCTGGCGTCGCATCGGCGCCATCGGCGTGGAGAAAATCGGACTCTACATCGAACCGCATCATCGGCGATGCATCGGCGACCCTGGAGACGCATCGGCGCCATCGGCGTAGAGAAAATCGGACTCTACATCGAGCCTTATCGGCGATGCATCGGCGATGCATCGGCGACGCCGCGCGATCCTCCGACCCCATCTGCTCGGACCCCATTTGGGAGGCTTAGAATGATCATTTCCTCTGTACTTATCTCAAGCATTGCGCACAGTCTGCCGTCTGGATTCTGAGGCCTCGGCCTTAATGTAGAGGCCTCGTAGAGGGGGTCGGAGTAGACGGGGTCGGAGGATCGCGCCGCATCGCCGAGACATCGGCGATACATCGCCGATGCATCGGCGATGCATCGGCGACGTCGGCGACGCACAGAGGACGCCAGCGTGGAAATAATAGGGCTCCACATCGATTCGCATCGCCGATGCATCGACGATACGGCGCGATCCTCCGATTTCATCTACTCCTGGAGGCGTCGCGCGGCAACTGGAGACCCGATGTACGTCGGATCCACGTCGGATCCACGTCGGGTTCACGTCGGACTACGTCAGGTGTACGTCGGATTTACGTCGGACTGACTCCAGAGCATCGCCGCGCGAACGTCGACCCATAGCTTACGGAACTGACAAATGGACTAGCTCATACTACTATTACGCGCCGCGCGAGGCCTCCAGGATTTTCCTAATAATACATTAATCCCATCTAGGAAACCTGGATTACCACAAGCATGGCGCACAGTCTGCCGTCTGGACTCTGTCGAGCCGTCTGGGCCTCGGCCTGGGCCTTCCCCCCCCCCAGCGGCCCGGCCGTGCCAGCGCCGAGCCCGAGGCCAGTCCAAGTCCGCAGAAGCCACGTCCGGACCGGGCCAGCCCCGAAGCATCCCGAGGCTGGCTGGGCGCCAGTGCAATCTGGGCGGTGCTCAGCTGCTCAAGCCGCCCTCCCTCGTGGTTGTTGTCGTCATCCTCGTCGCTCGGCGTCGCTCGAAGTCGTTCGGCTCGTCGTCCACGTCCTCCTCGTCGTCCCCCTCCTGCTCCTCCTCCTCACCACTGCCCCAAGGGCTCCCTGAAGGGACTGGCACCTGCGAGCGGGAGAGGCACCCTCCTCCTCCATCCGTCCTGGGCCCCATACCTAGATTTTTGCTGGAGTCAGAGGCCCCGTGGAGCTCTAGACTCACAAGCCCAACCCCCGACCTCTTCCATCGCGCAATCTGCCGCTTCTGCAGAGCCCATGGGTCCCAACCCCCCAAGCCGCTACTGTCCCACATGTGTGTTGCATTCCTGGCAAGAGCCCCCCAAAGGCGAAGACCTCAGACAACCTGCCGACGACGTGATTCTGCTCACGGCGCAAAGCGATCTGGGCCAATCCCCGATCCTCCCTCCATGCTGTTTTTGGAAAAAAGACTGCCTCCTGGACAAGCCCTGGGATGAGTTATGGCCAACATGTCGAAGCGACCCCACCTGTGGCGACGAGAGCACGCCAGGAGGCACAACATGGTCCGAAAACGCTGAGTGGCTTCGATGCTCGACGCACGGGTCTCGACCCGACCTTCATAAAGACCGCCCCCCGTTGGGCACCCGAATTATCCGGTGCAGACCTGGTCCGGGTAGGGCCCAGTCTGGCGCCCATGTGATCGGTGAATATCCTGGAACCGCTTGATGTGGGATTACTGCTGCTCCAGGAGAAAGCTGGACGAGCATCTCCACATCATGGGACAGAATGCAATCCGAGAAAATCTCGAGCTGCGTGCAAACCGGGGCAACTCTGGCACGAGCCCAGGAGGCCCGAGTGGGGAGTCCTCAACGACCGCTCCGTGCCCTGCTAGCTTCAGGCTCGGAATTCGATCCACCTCCCCCCTGCACCCCGCCGACGAGGCGGCCGCTCCGCCAGCCGCTCTCGCCGGCCGCAGCTGCCGAAGACACAGGTCGGGTACGCGGGCTTCGGTTGCATACGTTGATGGGTTCGATTTGGGCTTTAAGTCGTGAGTTCGAGATTACGCAACGTCATGTTTGATGTATGTTTGGGGTCGGTTTCGAATTATCCTGTCGCGCAGAATCTATCTTTCGAGTAATCAAAAATCCAATATCATAGGCTGGGGCACGAATTGACCATGCGAGAACCAGACGAGCGATATCATTTTGAAGCGACGGCCCTGCAAGAGATAGATTGCGACCACAAGTTGCCACAGCGCCCCTCCTAAGAAAGGACGGCGCAGACGCGCCCAGCGGCGCTGCGCCCCCGCTACCAGTCGAGCACGGCTTATCCACTTCGCGCCCAAACGCTCTCGGCGACCGCATGGCAGAAGACAACCGCCCGCCGCGACCGATTCCAAACGCCCGCCATGCACGAGGGGCAAGAGGTTGAAAAGAGAAGGTTGGGCGGGGCAGTGGACGGGAGGGGGGCGAGTGGGAAGGGCCACGGGGAGAAGAAGAAGCAGCAAGGGACTGGCGAGGGGCAAATATGAGAGGGATGGCAACCGAGAGCGCGAGACGGGGCATGAAACTGACATCTGGCGGGCAAGCTACAATCATCTCCAGGGGTCAGGGGCAGGCGTGACGAGAGATCAAACAGAGATGACGACTGGCACGGATGAGAAAACTGGCAACATCAACGGACATCGATCGTTGCATGATCGACGCGATGATTGATAATCACACGCCCTCCTCTGGATTGCGTGCGAGGCCCAAGGCGAACAAATTCTTCCGTGAACGGCGTGGATGACTAACTACAACGATGCCCAAATGTCAGACACATCTAATGCACAAACATGAGCGGCCAGACCCAGATGCAAGAGCAGCGGCCTACGGCGCGAAACTCGGAACGAACACCAAACCACTGTAGAACCCCAAACATCCGAAATCTCTGAGATACTTTCCATGGTCACAGGTTGGTTTCGGACCCCTGCTTCGGCGCATTCGCTGAAACGACCTAAAACAGCGGGTGCCCCCACAATACGGTCGACAAAAACAAATTACCCTGGCGACGTACCCAACCCCTGCGCAAACGCGGGGCGCACATAGTTTAGCACACTTTATAAGGGGGGCGATGACGGAGCGAGGGTGACATATGTCTGCAGACGGAATTCGGGAGACTCGCAGGAAACTGGCTTCAGGACAAGGACAGTTGCAATCCCTGAGCAACCCTAACCACTGCGAAAGCGGGGATCTCAGATCGCAGCCCCCCAGGGATGGCGAGGTCTAATTTGGGTCCGCCCGTGGCGTCACTGTGCTGGGCCCCCCAGCAGGCCTCGAAAGTGGCGACAGTTTCACAGATCGCAGCCCCCCAGGGATGGCGAGGTCTAATTTGGGTCCGCCCGTGGCGTCACTGTGCTGGGCCCCCCAGCAGGCCTCGAAAGTGGCGACAGTTTCACAGATCGCAGCCCCCCAGGGATGGCGAGGTCTAATTTGAATCCGCCCGTGGCGTCACTGTGCTGGGCCCCCCAGCAGGCCTCGAAAGTGGCGACAGTTTCACAGATCGCAGCCCCCCAGGGATGGCGAGGTCTAATTTGAATCGCCCGTGGCGTCACTGTGCTGGGCCCCCCAGCAGGCCTCGAAAGTGGCGACAGTTTCACAGATCGCAGCCCCCCAGGGATGGCGAGGTCTAATTTGGTCTGCGGTGGGTCACTGTGCTGGGCCCCCCAGCAGGCCTCGAAAGTGGCGACAGTTTCACAGATCGCAGCCCCCCAGGGATGGCGAGGTCTAATTTGGGTCCGCCGTGGCGTCACTGTGCTGGGCCCCCCAGCAGGCCTCGAAAGTGGCGACAGTTTCACAGATCGCAGCCCCCCAGGGATGGCGAGGTCTAATTTGGGACCCGTGGCGTCACTGTGCGGGCCCCCAGCAGGCCTCGAAAGTGGCGACAGTTTCACAGATCGCAGCCCCCCAGGGATGGCGAGGTCTAATTTGGTCCGCCCGTGGCGTCACTGTGCTGGGCCCCCCAGCAGGCCTCGAAAGTGGCGACAGTTTCACAGATCGCAGCCCCCCAGGGATGGCGAGGTCTAATTTGGGTCCGCGCGTGGCGTCACTGTGCTGGGCCCCCCAGCAGGCCTCGAAAGTGGCGACAGTTTCACAGATCGCAGCCCCCCAGGGATGGCGAGGTCTAATTTGGGTCCGCCGTGGCGTCACTGTGCTGGGCCCCCCAGCAGGCCTCGAAAGTGGCGACAGTTTCACAGATCGCAGCCCCCCAGGGATGGCGAGGTCTAATTTGGGTCCGCCCGTGGCCCTCACTGTGCTGGGCCCCCAGCAGGCCTCGAAAATGGCGACAGTTTCGCAGATCGCAGCCCCCCAGGGATGGCGAGGTCTAATTTGAATCCGCGCGTGGCCCTCACTGTGCTGGGCCCCCCAGCAGGCCTCGAAAATGGCGACAGTTTCGCAGATCGCAGCCCCCCAGGGATGGCGAGGTCTAATTTGAATCCGCC